ACTGCTTCTCTGTAGGTGAAGTTGCACACGGCCCAGGCCAGGTAGTACGTGGACATGCGGGGCGTCCTGGAGAAATGGTTGGTCACCCATCCGTCCTCGTCAGACGTCGAGGCCTCCACTGGCATGTTAGACAGCGACTGATACGAGCTCTCGTGTTTCAGACTCACTCTGAATGTGGCTTTATAGATGGGCTCGTCGAAACACGGGAAGGCCTTTCTAGCGTGAGTCGGTGAGAACTGCGTCACCGCGAGAAACCTGCAGAATAACACCAGCAATGAGAACATGAGAGAGAGGTAAGGTGAGAGAAATGTCTGGAACAATTTATGCTATTTAAGTATCTCAGGAGTCTGGGCTTCATTAAACTGGCTGTCACATGACTTTCCTGAATTCAAATTAGCTCTGACTGCCATATCTGAACTCATCGCTGTGCATTTTTATCACACTAATGAGCTTCCTGGTGTGAAGATGGACAAAAAATTTTACAGCTTTTTGAACCACAGCAACTAAATTCCATCAAATGTCGACATATAATAAATCACACCAGAATTACTACACAGAAATAATGATATCTCTGTCACAACAGACTTAGTCAACAAACTGACAGCGTGAACCAATTTAGACGACAAGGAAATAATAAAAAGCTGTCAAATTCATCTTACATGTAGTTGGATTGGTGAATGTTAAGTGAATCATTAATAATCTACACATTTACCACATCAGAATCACATCTGAGTCTGAATATCATTATAAGTCTAAACTACAAACAGCTTTAGAAGTTTTCTATTAAAGTTAGAGAGCAAGAAAAGCTGTGAGCTGCATTCCAGAAAGCTGCATTAATGAACATTAAAGCCCGACTCACAGGGAGATTTGGCTTTGACCACCCACAGCATGACCAGCAGACGGGGGAGAAGGGTTTTCTGCTCCTGCATTTCTATCACAACTTTTTACTCTCATTAGCAGCCGTTCATGCAGTAGCAATGTATAATGAGTCTATAATGTCCCATCTGTTTACCTCCCCTTCATTCCGATATTTATAGATGCTAGTACCATTTAAACATCTTTACACTATTTAAAGAGAACAGTTGAGACACAGGCAGGAGGTGATGAGAAGTCAGACGACTAACACACACAGGAGGAGATTCTACAGGGATGTCGGAGTGAAAATCCCTGCAGCGATACACATGGAGGCGTTTGAGTTTGTTGTCTAATGTGACACGGCTGTACCTGAAAATGTGTGAAGGATGAAGGAAAAACTGATAAATCTCCAAAAAACACCAGATGATCAGATGTCGGTTTGAAGTGAACTAACAACACAGTTCATGTGGCCAGGTCTAACTACATAAACACGGGTATTTTCTCAATCCTGCGAGATCCCCGCCGTTCAGCGTTCACGAGTGTACGAGCAGCCAGCAGGTGCTGATTACACTAAACTCAATGATCTTCACAGCCTGTGGAGCTCAGAGCTGCTGTGGGACGCTGTCTGAACATCAGCGTGCTGAATTTATCTCAAACATGCTCTTCAATGGACCTTACAATATCAACACCTCACTTTGTGCTGAATCAAAAATGGGGTTGTTAAAGAAACGTTACACTGAGCCCTTGACATGCTGTTTTGCAGCTGAAAGCAGGAAGAAGTCCAGCAGTTATTGCCAAGACAGAAAGGCAACTGGAGGATGGACAAAAGGTTTATGAAGTGTGTCCATGAAAGCGATCCCTTCAGGGTAAAACAAGGTTTAAACATGTCTCAAATGCAGGAAAACGTGGGGCAAAGATTCAAACATGAGCCATTTTTCCCTCAGAGGACAAAGAGTCAGAAGCCAGAAAACAAGAAATACTGAGTGTTGTCTAGCTGAAATCACTCTGAATATGAGGATGTAAATGGCTGTAAGACACTATAATTAATACACATATGAGCTTAAAGAGCTGAATAATATGATATTGGGTGATCTGGTGGTTTTCAAAAATTAAAATGGGTTGCCTTAGTGTAAACACTAGCACATTTCAACCGAACACCTAAACCCAACTGTCTAATCTCACTTTTTATATATTGATGCATTATAGTAATAATTGTATAAATAGTTAAGATAATGCTGCAGGTAATTTTAATGTAAATCTAACTCTGTGTGCATATTTAGCACTGTGCTGGAAAACTTCCCACGGTCACGTCTCAGTGTCTGACAGTAAATGAATTGTTGAGCGTCGCGTCAGACACAGCTGTGACTTCAGTACCCAGAGATTTGACTAGTGTTTATTCAGATCTACATGACCTCTGACCTCCCTAAACAGCGATGAACAGTGACTGTCTGAGACAGAGACAGTGCAAATTACATGCAGACAGTAGTGTTAGAGTTACAGGTGAACTACTCAGTTCTCAAACGTAACCTGAATGTGAATATTATGAATGAAGAACCAGAGATTATATCTTGTTCATTTTAACACATGCTGTAATAATATTTGGAAAACAGCAACATTTTTAGCCTTGGCAGTTGTGTTAGTAAAACTTATCACTTCCATGTTGTACTTGACACTTTACAGACATCCTGACATCTGCACATCACATGTCCCTGTGACAATACAATGTTAAGAAGCATTTGTGAGAATGGCAATAAAGACAATCTCACAAAACGTATGCATTTAATTATGGCAACCAGAGTTTCAACTAAAACGCAGCGGTTGCTGTTATAAGATGTATTACAACCTATTTTTTAAGATGATGCCGTATTCATTAATGATGGTTTCGAAGTAGCAAACATTGCTACTGAAATTATTAGATTTTGGTGTAAGCCATCAAAAATACTAGTTAGGAGAAGAAATTAAGATAATTACAATATAAGTCTTGTTGGTATTGCACTAAGATGCAAATAAACATCTACATATCAATGTCATCCAGCATCAACATAGCATCATTTGCATACAATAATATCACTGACATGTGAATCTCACAAGAATCAATATTCACTGTGATCCTTAAAGAAGTGCTCACTCTCCCCTCAGAAAATTCCCATTAAAACCATCATTTTTACATAATACCACTGTTAATACAGTTCCTATGGGAAAACTGTGGTAACTTGGTGACAGTAGGATTCTTCTACACTTTTTGAATCAGATCCCAAATTGTTTATTATGGTCAGTACCTATGGTATTTTGGTTATGGTACATTTCTGTGAAAGCACTGGCCAAAAAAAGTGCTTAATTGCGCATATGATCGTCAGGCAGCATCAACAGTTCTGAAGCTAACAGCAGAAGATTATTATAACAACACTTTGACTCGGACGCTGAAGCGCTTTTACCTTCTTTCTCCATTCAGCACTTGTACTTTGACAACAAAAGCATGAAAGGTGGAGGTGTGTAATGATCAATTCAATAAAATCATGCAGGTTGTGTGGGGCAGAAAAGAGAGAGCCTTTCTTCTCCCTATGAGTAAACACTATGTATAATAATAACAACTGTACAAAACTAAAGGCTGCTGTCCATGGTGCTGAATCAAGGAGTACTATTTCAGCACCACTAGTACAACTTCACTGAGAAAAAGTTTGCACTTCCAACAAAGTCACAGAACACTATTGCCATCTGCCATTGGTTGGTAGATTCTTAAACAATGCTTGAAAAAGCCACTTTTCAGGGGAAATCAAACTGTTACATATAGTAGTTTCTACATATTAAGGTTTTTGAAGATTTATACATATTTAAAATTACAAACTTTAATGTGTTTGAACATTTTTACTGCTTAAAACATTTAGATTGTGTGGGGCAGAAAAGAGATAGCCTTTCTTCTCCCTATGAGTAAACACTATGTATAAAAGTAACAACTGTACAAAACTAAAGGCTGCTGTCCATGGTGCTGAATCAAGGAGTACTATTTCAGCACCACTAGTACAACTTCACTGAGAAAAAGTTTGCACTTCCAACAAAGTCACAGAACACTATTGCCATCTGCCATTGGTTGGTTGAACAACAATGCTTGAAAAAGCCACTTTTCAGGGGAAATCAAACTGTTACATATAGTAGTTTCTACATATTAAGGTTTTTGAAGATGTATACATATTTAAAATGACAAACTTTAATGTGTTTGAACATTTTTACTGCTTAAAACATTTAGCCCCAATACAATATATATATATATATATATATGGTCTATTTATATATATACAAGATGTATAAAACTGCAAAATCACTACAAAACTATTTCCTTGGTTTATAAATTGTTCACCCTTTTTTAGCATCAACATTTTCTTTGAGCAGTTTTGTAGTGATAGGTAGGTAACGCTAGGTAATTTAATTAACATAATAAAGTGAAGCAAAAAAATTTATGTTTGTTTGTTTGTTTTATTAAACTTTTCACTAAATTAAATATCACAAATCATATTTATTTTACACAAGTCTGTGGCCATGCACGCCTGTAAATGACAGAGCATCAGTCATTAGGCATTAATCACATTACAATACATTCGACAAATAATAAACTTCCTGCTCTGTATCGTGGAGAACACGATTGCACAGTGTTCTGGATAATAGAGAGCCATTTTCACAACTGTGTTGGTATTTTTAATACACGTTTTCTTTCTTGTTTGAATTAATGTTGACATTTATTTACCCTTTATCTTCTTTTTTAGGAAAGATGCCATCATTTACCACAGCAAATGCTTCTGACTGATGACAATGTGGTCTCATTGTTTGTAAGAGACCTTCATCCTGATGTTTCCAAGTTCTTTATCAGGTGTTCATCAGGCGTTTTGTTAGTTTTGGATGATATTCAACAGTTGTTCGAGGTCCAGATGTCTGAGCTGCCTCATGAATATCTGCTGATCTTGTACGTATCAGCAGTTGTATTTGGTTGGTTTGGTTTAGCAGACATCAAACCATAAATGTATGTTTGTTTATTTGTTTTATTAAACTTTTCACTAAATTAAATATCACAAATCATATTTATTTTACACAAGTCTGTGGCCATGCACGCCTGTAAATGACAGATCATCAGTCATTAGGCATTAATCACATTACAATACATTCGACAAATAATAAACTTCCTGCTCTGTATCATGGAGAACACGATTGCACAGTGTTCTGGATAATAGAGAGCCATTTTTAATACACGTTTTCTTTCTTGTTTGAATTAATGTTGACATTTATTTACCCTTTATCTTCTTTTTTAGGAAAGATGCCATCATTTACCACAGCAAATGCTTCTGACTGATGACAATGTGGTCTCATTGTTTGTAAGAGACCTTCATCCTGATGTTTCCAAGTTCTTTATCAGGTCAGTTTTGTCTCTCAGAAAAAGAAAAAAAAAAGTTCCGTCATGAAACTCCTTGGGGCCAATAGTTTCTAACTCTATCTGATATAATTTCATCATCATTCACATGGCACAGCTGATTGGTTCTTTTCGAATCAGCAGTCAATTAGCTTGCTGCTCAACATTCAAACACTTTCATCACTGTAGCAGTTTGCAGTGTGCTTTCAGAAACCCTCCACCTTCCCCAGCTCCACCTGTATAGATCTGCTATGGGTAATTTCACATATGTTATATGTGCGGGGTAAATTCATGTACGTTAGATGTGCAGCAGCAATATTTCATACATGCTTACAGCAGTGTGTCTGTGGATGTATTGGCAGTAGCAAGTCTCGGTTCTTGCCCTGCCGCAGCAGAAGCAGCAGCGTCGCAGATCTATTCTGCCAAAACCAAACACGTTAACATTGCTTCGTATATGACCATGCTAAACTCTAACTGTATCGGTAGAGCAAGAGCATTTTGATGATCAAGATAGACAAGGTTAGTAAAACTCTTCACATATTAATGTTGAAGTGAATAATGTCCCCTTCAAGGTGGAAATATTGTAATTACAATTTACAAGCACATGAGTGTCCATGCAAGCGAAGACTTGTTTACGAGTGGAAAACTTTAGAGGGAGTTTCCGAATTGATCTATATAGACAAGTGTGAAGTAAATAAATAAAAAATTATGTAACAAAAAATGATAGAAATAATCATTTTGAATTACGTAGTTATTTGGGTTTATTGTTTACAATATAATTTACTCTTTTTTTTTTAGATTGGTTCCATGTTATGTATCTGACTTGAATGCATAACAATGAATGCCCGGAATGAAGCTTGGAGGTACAAGTTTCCCAGATGCACTTGAAGGTAAGATAAAAATGCTTGGGGTTTAAAGAGTCATTTAAAGGTAAAAAGTGAATAATGTCCCCTTCAAGGTGGAAATATTGTAATTACAATTTACAAGCACATGAGTGTCCGTGCAAGCGAAGACTTGTTTACGAGTGGAAAACTTTAGAGGGAGTTTCCGAATTGATCTATATAGACAAGTGTGAAGTAAATAAATAAAAAATTATGTAACAAAAAATGATAGAAATAATCATTTTGAATTACGTAGTTATTTGGGTTTATTGTTTACAATATAATTTACTCTTTTTTTTTTAGATTGGTTCCATGGTATGTATCTGACTTGAATGCATAACAATGAATGCCCGGAATGAAGCTTGGAGGTACAAGCTTCCCAGATGCACTTGAAGGTAAGATAAAAATGCTTGGGGTTTAAAGAGTCATTTAAAGGTAACTCTGTCGACCCCTTGAGGACAGAGGATTGTTTCCTTCATGAACATATTGGCATACTTGCAGAGTTTGTTTTTGGCCTTAATAATCTGTAATTGTATATTTGGACAGACCTTTGTCTGATTAATCCTAAAACTGTATGTAATGTAGCTGTGAGTGCTTTGCTGGGGGAAGTGGATTCTGTCCAGGGCGGTGCTGATTTTTCACATCAGTCTAGAATTCATCCGTCAGCAGTTTCAATCACACACACATTTGACACTCATTCATAATTCATACGTCAGATGGATATGATATCGAATAAGCAGTAAGTATGACACAGTAAGACGGCAGGGAATTGGTATTTTTACCCGCCGCTATGATACAACCTGACTGTGCAGCTGATGCAAATGCTTTTGTTCACCAGTAGATTGAGGTGCATCTGATTAAGAGACATTTCCAGAGAGACAAATGCTGAAATATTCTTGCTTACTCACGGCGCCCCAAAGAACACATTTTTTTACCCTCAAAATGTGAATAAAGTTGGTTAAGTAGCTTTAAATGAAAAGCTTTTAGCAATGATAGAAGTTACTGTGGAATGAAATGCGCCTGAGGATGGAAACACTGTTTCTGGATCTGAATGTTAATGTCAGCTACCATTACCCAGAAGCCCTCATGCCTCTTCCCACTGATTATGAGGCACCAAAGAACCTCGTCCAAACAAACACACTGGCCATTTCTCCGTCCAGGTCAATAAGTTTGTCGGTTTGCTCAGAATTCATCGATCCGCAGTCTCTTTATCAAGTGAACTGCTCAAACGAGGGCTGAAAAGGCACTGGACCGACTTACACCTTCTTACACATGAGTCACTGTGTAATGAGTGTGACTCTGAGAGATACACAGACTAGTTTCTAGCTGTATTATAGGGAAATCAAGCATGTAGCTTTTAATATGGAGTTTTACAGTTTAAACAGCAACTATTAGCTGTGAGTGATGGTTCATTGTAAAAGACAGCATTTTGTATTTTCACAGTTATGAGGCACAATTCTGAGCTCTACTATTGTTTATCATAATGCCACGACATTTACATAGTGAATCTTGGTTCGGCTTGAACTTTAAGTAAAGTTGCTTTATATAATAGGTTTAAAATGATACATACATGACAAAATGACACATACATGACAAAATACATAAGATTACCCTGATAAATGTTAAAAACCATGGTATTACCATGGTACATGTGGGGAGCAAACATTGTATTATAATGGTACATGTCCAAATACCCTGTTTTACCATGTTTTTTCTATACCTTATGTAATTATAATCCAGATGTAACAATGCATTTATTTATACAGTAAATGACTCGAGCGTTTCCATGCAGCATCATCACGACTGAATAATCAATGCAGTTTTGACACTTATTTGACACTCTTCAAGAAAGACAGAACAAACAGCGGCTCACCAGCTTTACATGAGGGACAGAAGAACTTGAGGAGACTCAAACACACACTGAGCTGAAGATTCAGTAAACACTCGATACCTGATCCATGATCTCTGCTCATTATACTAGAGGATGATGGAGGTTTCTATTATCATCACACTTGATCAAAAATAACTTAAGCCTTTTTTAAATAAGAGGAAATAGCGTATCAATGTGACCTAAGAGGTGACATTAAACTAACGCCTGAGTCGCTCCTGAGATGCTCGGCTCTTCTTTTACAGCACAAACACAGTTCCTCGTGACAGCTGATGATTTATTGTCCATTCAGCAGCTTTTATCTCGTCATCTTGACAAACTCTGATGATTTCCCAGGATCAAACTACGCTTAGAAATAAAGCAGCCAGGCAGGTTGAAAATTAACAATCGTTTGGGGTCCAGGTGTCATTTCTCCTCATTCCAATTAAATGAGCAATAAAACTTTATAGGTTAGCATATTCTTTACATTTAACAAGCAAACTGTGGTTTGAACCATAAACTGATACAAGCTCAAATAACATGCTTGATAGTCCAATAACATGTCTGTTTTATGTGCAACATTCCCCATAAAATGAAAAGTTTCACCAAACTCCCAAAGAATCGCAGCAAACAGGGATGATCCGTAAATTGTTTGAGCTGAGTTTTTTCCCGTCATTCTCTCCGCTGATTAATTACCATTATTTTCTCCACTGGTTGTCGAGGCAACAGCAGTGTTCTGCGCTCTCAGCGCTGTTTGGGCCGATGGCAGTATGTAATTAAATATAAGCAGTTGCTATTAGGACTGGAGGATACACTGTAATTATAAGGCTTTGCTTGTTCCCTGTGGTTTACCAGTCTGCTGGGGAGATGCTGTCACTCAGATGGCCGCCCAGACGCCCCCAAACACTGATACAGAGGTCCGTCTGTTCCTGAGAGTTTGTGTGGAGATAGGAAACATTTTGTCCAGTCCAGGTGAAGTTAGAATTTTGTTAACAGAAGCCGTTTATCACAGATACATAGAAAGATGTGTACGTGAATCACAAAATGATATTGGAATATGATAGTTTTGCAATATTAATATAAATATTAGCCGTTTTTCAACTTAAAAATAAATAATATATTCTATATTTAGCCCATTTGCTTACTGCAAACCAATATTAAATCTCATTTTATAATAATTAAAGAAAATATGCATGTGCACTTAGTATCACAATTACCTCACATGCAAAAACACCATTAACAGATCAAGTTTCCAATGACCAAAAAGGAAAGTGTGTGTGTGTGTGTGTGTTTGAGAAAAAATTCTGATAGGAAAGAAAACAGTGTGACTCAATCTTTTTGTATCCTGCTATCCTCATGTGTTAGCACCTGTAAATCATTTCCTATACTCTT